AAGATGAACCAAAGTGTAAGTCCACTACTTAGTGGGAAGGAGAGTTAAGAATGGTTGACATCAAAGAAAGCTGAGGTGTTTATGCCTATTTTACTTCAAGTATCAGGGGGTAGCCGTGTTAGTCTGTATCCACAAAAACAACAAGGAGTCCGGTGGCACCTTAAAGACTAACAGATTTATTTGGGCATAAGCTTTCGTGGGTAAAAAACCTCACTTATTTGGGCATAAGCTTTCATGTATCTGAAGAAATCTGTTAGTCTTTAAGGTGCCACCGGACTCCTTGTTGTTTTACTTCAGTCTTCACTAATAAGGTTAATAGTGACCAGATACTTAATGCAATATTAACAACAAGGGGTAAGGTGCACAAGCCTGCATTATGAAAGAACAGGTTAAAGAACATTTAGACAAGTTAGATGGATTCAAGTCAGCAGGGTCTGTTGAAATTCACCCTGAGGTACTTAAGGAACTAACTGAAGCAATCTCAGAACCATTAGCGATTATCTTTGAGAACTCATGGAGGATGAGTGAGGTCTCAGAGGATTGGAGAAGAGCAAACAGAGTAGCTGTCTTTAGAAAAAAGAACAGGAGTACTTGTGGCACCTTAGAGACTAACAAATTTATTTGGGCATAAGCTTTCGTGGGCTACAGCCCACTTCTTCAGATGCATAGAATGGAACATATAGTAAGGAGATATATATACATAAACATGAAAAGGTGGAAGTAGCCATATCAACTCTAAGAGGCTAATTAATTAAGATGAGCAGTTATCAGCAGGAGGGGAAAAAAAACTTTTGTAGTGATAATCAAGATGGCCCATTTTCCTCCTGCTGATAAAGCTACAAAAACAGTAAAAGGTTTAGAAAACCTGACCCTATGGGGAAAAGTTTAAAAAAATGGGCATCTTCAGTCTTGAGAAAAGAAGATTGCGGTGGGACTTGTTTAACAGTTTTGAAATATGTTAAGAGGTGTTATAAAGAGGACTGCGATCAATTGTTCTCCATGTCTGCTGAAGGTAGGACAAGAAGCAAGGGGCTTAATCTGCAGCAAGAAAGTTTTAGGGTAGATATTAGGAAAAACTTTCTAACTATAAGGGTAGGTAAGATCTGGAATAGGCTTCCCAGGGAGGTTGTGAAGGTTTTAAAAGCAGGTTGGACAAACACCTGTCAGGAATGGTCTAGTCTTGTTTACTTGGTCCAGCCTCAGCACAGGCACCTGGACTTGATGACATTTTCCAGCCCTACATTTTTATGACTGTATGAATTAATAGAAAAATAGAGAACAAAGACACCTCTACCTCGATATAACGCTGTCCTCGGGAGCCAAAAAATCTTACCGTGTTATAGGTGAAACCGCATTATATCAAACTTGCTTTGATCCACCATAGTGCGCAGCCCCCCCACCTCCCCCCGGAGCACTGCTTTACCGCATTATATCCGAATTTGTGTTATATCGAGGTAGTGGTGTATAACACTAATTCATGAATCTTCAGAGATAGGGGGCTCCATTCTGAAGTTTTGAGAGCCAATTTGACTTCCAATAATAAAAGTCAAAAAGGTGGTGCTCATACATGTGAATGAATCAGGAGAGATTCTTTCTAATCTAGAGCAAAAACTTTTAAAGCTTTTAGTTTTATTGTAGTAATAATAATAATAATTTACATTTCTGTTACAACTGCTATCCTAGGATCTTATTATGCTTCACAAACATAAATTGTTAAAAACTCCCAGCTCCTCTGTGAGATCAGTGCATAGTATTATTCCTGTTATGCAGATGGAGAAATTGAGGTACAAATGGTAATGAGATTTGCTCAAGGTCACATGAAAGGTCAGTGGCAGTGCTGAGAATAAAACCCAGGTCTTCCAACTCTGAATGCTGTTCCTTACACATTCTTCTTCCCTATTTATTATGGTACATAGAATCCGTGGCTGCTAGCCAGAATGCTAAATGTCTGACAGTTATTCAGCAATAAAATGTAATAAAGAGAAAATTCAGCTAGTCTGAAACAAGCTTATTCACCAAAGTACAATACAGTGAAAACTGTCTTAAACAATCATGCAAGAAACCAGTGGTTGCTCAAGACCAGGTTGCAAGTAGGAGATGGATTTTAGGCAGCTTTTGCTGTGTACATTGTGCTTTAATGGATAAATTAGTTTCAGACCTGGTCTGCTTTCTAATCTGTTCAGTAATGCTACAGCGAGCAGCCATCACTTGACTTTACTCATGTCCATCAGACAAAGTGATTGATTACCTTCATCTGTGTGGCATAATAGAAATGTCAGTTATAGAACTTTAGTGCCGGAGACAAATTATCCTTTCCCATCTCTGTGTCTTACCATTGCTGCTAACAAAAGAAAACTTTTTAAGTTGTTCCTGAACCAAGTCATGCAGGTGTTTTGCACACCCTCAGATTGGGACATCTTGCTAATATATCAGGTAACCTGCCAGGTAACATTACATGTTTTATGGGTTCACATCAAAAGACTGGATGTGTCATGCTGTGTATTAGACATACAGCCTTACAGATGGTTATGCTTACGTTTACATAGAGAGCGTTGTAGTGATCAGTTTTTCCTGCATACAGCAGGTTTTTGTATTTCTGCTTTCTCTTCTGAAAAATGAAGTTGGTGAATGTTCATACTATAATGAACATGTGGTGGCATAATTATGAGTTGTTATGCATATCAAATGTAGCCTCCCTGAAGGAAATGCAACGTAGTGTCTGTATTCCTTGTTTTTAAGTCAAGAGGTGCTGCCAAAGATTCATGAAGAGAAACACTACCCGTGTGCACTGGTGGGGACTTGGAACACGTGGTACGGAGAGCAAGATCAGGCTGGTAGGAGATAGAAGTACAACAGAATGTAAAACCGTACAAGTGAAATGTGTGCTTGGCAGGTTTCTTTTTAAGTCCTCACTGTTCATAAACCTTTAACAGTGTACTTCAGGATATGAGTGCTGTTGATTACATAAAATAATTGGTTAATGATTGTTAACTTTAAAATTGCTTGGTTTTTATCACATTGAGTTTGAAACTGAAGTGTTGATTCATAAAATGTGCTTGTTCAGGCAGCACTAATCTAATACTCTCTTTCAAACATATTTGTATACTTATGTTAATACACTTTTACCTCTTCTCAATGAGAGGGTGGCAGTACATGGTAAGCCCCTTCCTCTTCTTCCTGCATATTTTTGCACCTGCATTATTTTGCAGGCACAGATCACACTTCTGAAAATTTAGGTTTAAAAGGTGTACTGAGATAGAATTTAGCTTGTGTTAGCCAGTTTAAAAGCTTAACTTTGACTTTCCATGTCCTATTATAATTGTTCTGCGTGGCACTGTTATGCAACGTTGAAGTTATCACAAAATGTAATGGAACTGTTGTCTCCCGGCCAATTGAGTCCTGTACTAATACCCTAGGTATCCCTTCCTTAAACACACAGTGTCCAGTAATTCAGGATCAAAATGTAACCTTCCTTCAAATTCAACAAGGAGTCCGGTGGCACGTTAACGACTAACCGATTTATTTGGGCATAAGTTTTCGTGGGTAAAAAACCACTTCTTCAGATGCATTCCTTCAAATTGTTGAAAATATGCTCTATAACTACAAAGTGTTATATCAGTGTTATAATGTGGTATGGGGAGACTTCTAAATGATGTTAAATGGCTTTTAAAACAGTCCCTGGTCTCTGAGAAGTTAAAGGGGTATAGCAGCAGCCCTCATTTTGTGGGAACCACATAATCAGCATGTTAATTTCAGCTGTATTCGCTGAATATTATATCATTATAATATTAGCATTGGCCAAAGGTGAGAGGATATCTGTAGACACAGATTTGTCAGCTTCTAAGAGAGTATTTTAAAAAATGAAGAGAATGTTGAGGTACAGAGAGGAATAAACCTGAAATATTGCTTGACAGTTAATTCTGAAGCATACTGACAGAGAATGTCCCTGCAATCATTTCCAAAGCAGCATTAACTAGTTCAGAGGAAGCCATGCCCACCCCATCTCCACTGGAGGAAAGGTAGCTTTTGTGGGTCTTTGAGGGAAGATGGAAGAAAAGAGGGTGGGAATGGGAGTCGATTGCTATTCTAAAAGCTTGTAAAAAAAGTCTTGTTACACAGAGCACTTAAAGGGCATTGTCAAATTTAGGTCAAAATAGGCACCCATCTTGAAATTATTATTTG